CTTTACACAATTGATGTATGTATGGATTGTGATAAGAGTTGTATGAGCCCCTAATAAAACGATTAAAAAAAAGTTTTTAAAAAAAGCAAACCAATGAACGGATTTTTGTGGCCTTGGGGCTTCAGACTTGCCCAAGGTCATCCATCTAGTAGGAGGAATCAGCAGCCCATCCTAACTGTCAGGCTCCAGGCTGCTACCTTGTGAATCAGGGTACTGTCCGGACTCCACAGTGACCTGTCCCAGGGTCTGTCCCTGGTGCCAGGGCACTCCGGGCAGTCCTCAGGGCGTGTGTATTATCCCTACAGTCATCACTGTCACGGGCGAGCCCTGCCACTTCCCCTTCCAGTACCATCGGCAGCTGCACCACAGATGTATCCACAGGGGCAGGCCTGGCCCCCAGCCTTGGTAAGACCATCCAGAAAGGGTTGGCACAGAGGCCTGTGAGACTGCCCAGCCTCTGCTCAAGGATCCTTGCTTGGAGAGAGGAGGACAGAGCAGCTCCCCCAGGCTGAGTGGGGTGGCCTCATTTCTTTCCACAGGTGTGCTACAACTCCAAACTTTGAGCAGGACCAGCAGTGGGCATACTGCCTGGAGCCTAAGGCAGTGAAAGGTAATACACACTGTCCTGCCCCTCAGTGCCGCTCCTGAGTCTCATCAGAGCCCCTATCCATGGGATTTGGGGCTCCAGTCCCTTGCCTTTCCCCACAACACCCTTCAGAAGTACAGAGGAAGAGTCCTGGGAGGGATTGGGTCCATTTGCTGGTGGGTAAACTAAGGCTCAGAAACCTGGAGTGTCAAGGTCACAAGACCAGACTTGGCCCCCATCAGTGACTGGGGCTCCCCACACTGCCCTACCCCGTGTGCCTATCATTCAGACCACTGCGGCAAGCACAGCCCCTGCCAGAGCGGAGGGACCTGCTTAAACATGCCCAAAGGCCCATACTGCCTCTGTCCAGAGTACCGCACAGGCAAGCACTGCCAGAAAGGTAGGGGGATGCCCAGGCCCAGAGGAGGGGGTTGTGGAGCAGGGGCCGCTGGGATACCTAGATACCACTAGTGGCCCAGTTCTGGCAGGTCCCACCTCTCCCGAGACCACTGCCCCTTTGTCCCCAGAGAAGTGTTTTGAGCCCCAGCTTCTGCGCTTCTTCCACGAGGATGAGAAGTGGTACAGATTTGGGCCCACGGGCGTGGACAAATGCTGGTGCAAGGGGCCTGACGCCCACTGCAAGCCACTGGCCAGCCAGGGTGAGCCACTGGGTAGCAACTAGACCTGGGGGGAAGGCCTGAGGTCAGGAGGAGAAGCGGGTGGGAGATTGGGTGGTGAGATTGAATGGTGGGTCGCTGTCCGCACATCTCCAGACTTGGGGCTAGGGAGACAGCGCTCAACTAGCTCCCTTCTCCCTTCTCCAGCCTGCCATACCAACCCGTGCCTCAACGGGGGCCGCTGCTGGGAGGCCGAGGGACACACCCTGTGCCGTTGCCCCGAGGGGTACGCGGGGCCCCTCTGCGACGTGGGTGAGTCAGGGTCTGCTGGCAGCGGAAGCCCCGCCCCCGCATGGGAAGGGCTTGACCTGGGGACCCCAGGGAAGGCTGCCTGGAGCTCCTTCTTTCGCCAGACACGAGGGCGCACTGCTATCACGGCCGCGGCCTCAGCTACCGCGGCGCGGCCCGGACCACCCTCTCGGGCGCGGCCTGCCAGCCGTGGACTTCGGAGGCCACCTACCTGAACGTGTCTGCTCACCAAGAGCTGCAATGGGGGCTGGGCCGCCACGCCTTCTGCCGGTGTGCTCTTGGGACATCTTTAATAACCTCCAGGAGTAGGGGCGGGGGTCCTGGGGCTCCCTGCCTTCTAACCATTCCCCACTCCCCCTTTTTATGGCTGCAGGAACCCAGAAAATGACACCCGTCCGTGGTGCTTCACGTTCAAAGGCGACCAACTGAGTTGGGAGTACTGCCACTTGGCACAGTGCCCGGTCGCAGCCAAGACCTCGCCCCTGCTTCCCGTCCCCACCCGGGGGCTTCTGGAGCCTTCAGCCGCGGAGGGGCCTCAGCCCAGCAACCCAGGTAAGTGGGGCGGGGTGGGACGGGCAGTTCAAGCCCGAGGGGATTCAGCTGGTGGTGGGTCTTCAGGTCCTCAGTCCAGGGTCCCCCGACAGCCGTGCTCGCAACACCCGAGCAGCAGGATCCTCTGACTGCGGCGGGTCCCGTGGGCTGCGGGCAACGGCTCCGAAAGCGGCTGTCCTCTCTGAAACGCATCGTCGGGGGACTGGTGGCGATGCCAGGCGCGCACCCCTACATCGCCGCGCTGTACTGGGACCAGAATTTCTGCGCTGGCAGCCTCATCGCCTCCTGCTGGGTGCTGACGGCCGCTCACTGCCTGCAGAACCGGCGAGTAGCGCTAGCCTAGTGCCTCGATCCGGCGGCTCCAGGCGGCGCCTGGCCCGGGCCCTGGTGCTTCCCCAATTCCCCGGGAGGCTCCCCAGTAGAGGGCTCCGGTAGGACGCCCATAGCGGGCGTTGCGAGCGCGGTCTCTCCTCCCCTCCCCTCCGCCTCGCCCGCAGGCCGGCCCCGCAGGAGCTGACCGTGGTGTTGGGCCAGGATCGCCATAACCAGAGCTGCGAGCAGTGCCAGACGCTGGGCGTGCGCGCCTACCGCCTGCACGAGGCTTTCTCTCCCACCAGCTATCAGCACGACGTGGGTGCGTGGGGCGTCCCCGAGGGGCTAAGGGCGAGGTGTCCCGGTCTCACGCTCCTCCCTCCACCCCGGTTTCAGCCCTGCTGCGCTTGCAAGAGCGCGAGGACGGCAGCTGCGCGCGCCTGTCGCCCTATGTCCAGCCCGTGTGCCTGCCCAGCGGCGCTGCTGCGGGACCCGCCGAGACTGAGGCTTCGAATTGCGAGGTGGCCGGCTGGGGCTACCAATTCGAGGGTATGCACAGCGGCTGGTTGGGGGAGGGGGACGAGCGGGAGACTGGCCCTCCGTGAATCCAAGAAACTGCCAACTCTGGTATCATCAAGGGTGCCAATCTTGGCAGGTGGCTCTGGCGCACTGGTTTATGAGACCCTGTAAAGCTCTCAGGGAGCCCTAGTGCGTGCCACGTGGTTACCCGCAGTCGCCCCGCGGGAGGAAGATGCGGCTTTCTACTTCCGTGAACAGTTGCAGTCTCTAGAACTCACAGGGGCAGTTCTGCTCTCCTGCAGGCTCATTAGGAGTCGGCCGTGCCTCGCCTCGATGACAGGGAGTGTGGTTTGGGGTAGAGCTCTGATCTCTGAAATCCGCTGCCCTTAGGGAGGGGGGGTTCACGACGGAGGCCTCAAAGTCTCCTGGGGGTGCCGGAAGTGGAGGGCTGGCTCTCTGTTCCGTCTGGCGCACGCACGGGCAGCAAGGACCGATTTCATCTCGGGCCCAGCGCTCGGCCCTCTAGCCGTCCTCGGTTTAGTGGACGGGTTTGGGAGTAAGGCTCTAAGACGCTGGAGGGTACAGTGATAAAGCGCCTCTCATTCAAATCCGGGTTCTTCTGCCCAGTCCATTCAAATCCGGACTCCTCTCTGGGCCTGATTCCTTGTCTATGAAACGGAGTTGACTGGGGGTGGGGTTGGGTGGGGAGACGTTAAGTGGTTTGAAAGTGCCTGGCGCGGCCCGGGCGGGGCGGGGACCCGGGGGGGTCACCGCCTGGACAGTGACCACCGCAGGCAGGCTGTGAGGTAGGAGCTCTCCACCTGCAGAGTCTCAAGAATATTCCAGCTTCCTGCAGGAGGCGCGCGTGCCGCTCCTCCCCCGAGAGCGCTGCTCCGCCTCCGACGTGCATGGAGCCGCCTTCCTGCCGGGGATGCTGTGCGCTGGCTTCCTCCAGGGCGGCACCGACGCTTGCCAGGTGAGGCCTTGAGCCTGGTGGTCCCCTCCTCCCACCGCGCTAGGCGCTGCCCCAGGCGAAAGTGGCTGAACCCTGTGCCCCCGACCCAGGGTGATTCCGGGGGCCCGCTGGTGTGTGAGGATGAAGCCTTGGAGAAGCGAGTTGTCCTGCGGGGTGTGGTCAGCTGGGGCTCTGGCTGTGGCAACCGCTACAAGCCTGGAGTCTACACGGATGTGGCCAATTACGTGGCCTGGATCCAGGAGCACACTGCTTCCTGACCGCGCTGGGCACTTCTTTTTTCCTGTGCGTGGTGGGCAGATGGCGGCGGCAGGACATCGAAGACTGCGTTCTAGTCCCCTGAGCCGCCAGCCTGGACCGGGTGTGGCAAATGCACTCAATAAAGTGCTTGGCAAATGCTTAGAGGAAGCCTTTTCCGTGGTACCACTTGGAAATGCCAAGGCAGAAAACCTGTGCACAGCTTCCTGGCCCTTCAGGGAGCAGGCCTGTGTGGACTCCTCGTCCAAGCTTTGAGATTCATGCCCAGCCACCAATTTTTCGAGTCATTCTGTGTGCGAACCACCCCCCCACCCCCGCTCGTATTAGCCCTCATAAGGAAGTTACTTTTTAACTGTATAGAAGCAGTTGTTGTGCCCACAACCTTGGCTGTACTTCGAATTCACCAGTGGAGAGTGTTTAGCCACAAGATCCACCCAATTCAATCAGTGGCTTTAATGACGGAGTGGGGGTGGTGGTGCCACACTTACAAAACTCCCCAGAGATTCCATATGGTGTGCAGGGTGACAACCATTGTTAGAATGTTAACAGTGGACCCCACGGGAATATTACTGTCCCCAACCCCACATTCACTCACTGTCATTGAGCCGAGTAGGGCAGGGTGGAACTGTCCCTGTAAGGTTTCTGAGATTGTAACTCTTTAGGGAAAGTAGAAAGCCTGCTCTTTGTGAAGGCAAGAACGGTTTTAGGGCCAGACCAGTGGCAGCTAATTTGGGGACTTGTTAAAAAAGCACCTTCTTAGACCACACCTCATCAGCTGAATCAGGCACGCCAGGCCTCAGCCTTCGCGGGGCTTCGAATGCTTGGTGAGTTGGAGAGCCACAGTCTAGGGATTCAGAGATATTCATTGGTGAGAGCTCCTGCCCTTGGTCTCCGTCTCCCATCCACACTTCCCGTAGAATGTCACCAGGCGCCAGGTGCCAAAGCCTTCCCCCAAACCACAGGCCTGCTACAGGCCATACGACCAGCCTTGGCGTCACAGCCTCCCCCAAACGTCACAGCGCCTTGCCGTTCCAGGCGCCGGCGTAGCGGCATTTCCTAGGCGGAGGGGAGGGCCTGTGCCAAGATGGGCGACTGGAAGAGCTTCATCAGTGCGGTGCTGCGGGACCAGCGCATCGACGACGTGGCCATCGTCGGCCACGTGGACAATTGCTGCGTGTGGGCATCGCGGCCAGGGGGCCTGCTGGCCGCCATCTCCCCGCAGGAAGTAGGCGTGCTCACGGGCTTCGACCGGCGGACCTTTCTGCAGAGCGGCCTGAGCTTGGCCGGCCGCCGCTGCTGCGTCATCCGCGACCACCTGTTGGCCGAGGGCGACAACGTGCTGGACGCGCGTACCAAGGGCCTGGACGCGCGCGCCATCTGCGTGGGGCACACGCCACGCTTGCTGCTCGTGTTCATGGGCCGGCGGGGCGTGCACGGGGGCTTCCTCAACAAGACAGCGCATCGGCTGATCCGAGGGCTGCGCGCCGAGGGCACCTAGCCTTACCGCGGGCCCAATAAACGCACCCAGGGGGCACTGGGCTTGCCTCCGGGGCACGTCTTGAGTTGCAATGTTAAATTGGTTTGGGGCTGGGCGCGGGAGGTTGCCTGGTTAAGCTGCGAGGATGAGTTCCCATGCTGCCCCGCCCCCTACCCCACCCTTTCTACTCTGCGTGCCTTGCAGAAGTCCCTGGCCTGGCAGCTCAGGACCCTCACCGGGCACCAGGTGAGGAAGAGGCTAAGGGTGTGGGTGTCTTCTCATACCCTGGGGCCTACGCCGGCTGCCTTTCCCCACAATTCAGACACAAATTCTGTGTGTGACAAAGTGTAAGCAGAAAGTCCCCTGTGCCCCCATTCACATAGTATACTAGGCCTGTGACGTTTGACTTCCGCCTGGAGGCCAGTGTACTTCCCACGCCCTCCACTGGGTGTCCCGGATGTGAAGGAATGACAGGGTGGGGCTGGTAGCTCAGAGAGCAGGCCTGAGCTCCCAGGGCCC